TATGCTATGGAGGCTCTCTTTTTTATTTATTTGATTCCTCAGTGTTTGCTAAACGTTCTGTAATTTATTAGTCGGTATATAATACAGCATGTGGTGTATGCCATGCCTCGTCTTATTCGTTTTTGTTAATAAACGTTTTATAAGCTAGTTTGTCATTGTATCTTACTGTTTTATTGTTGTTATGCTTTTTAATTAAGAATAACAATGAATCCATCTTTTGTTTTAGTCTTAAAAAGTGAAAGGTGTGTAGATCAAAAAACGGACCGAATTAGCATGCCCTGCTGTAAATTTTGACCGGTTGATGAAAAACAAGCTTATGTGGATTCTACACATTTAAACAATTCAGATAAGTTATCTAGAATTATTTATGGAGCAGATAAAATACATATAATCATTTATTAATCAATTATCATTTTGACTTGACCCTTTTCTTTATTTAAAAGCTGAAATGTGAGGTTTACCATTTATGAAACTTTTTCAAAGCTTTATTTGAACATTTACATTAGATATTTGAACATTGGTAATATTATTGTTTTAATGATTATGCAAACAAAAAGTCATTTTATTTGTTGTTTGTTGATTTTAAATGTAAAACTTGGTGAAATGATTTGTGTGTCAGTACTTTTTGAACATTTCCAGCACATTTGAACAATACCGTGATAATACCGATAACCGTGATAATTTTGGTCACTATAATCGTGATAAGAAATTTTCATACCATTACATCCCTACCCATGAGTCATTAACCTTGTAAATTTTTCTAAAATATGACATGATGTAGGATGATGATAAATGAAAGTGAATTTTGAGCCCTCACACTATGTGCATTTCATGCCATATTCGCTTAAATTTGCCTTGTTTTAACGGCAGTGTCTGGTTGGAATTAAAAATGAACAGTAATTGTGATCAGGTCTCAACACTATGGATTTTTTCTAGTGGTCCAGTCGAACCAGTGGTTCAAATTTTTACTTGCCCTGCCAATATTTTCACTGGCCCTGCCACAAAAAAATAAAATAGTTGCTGTTATTATTGTTTTTGACCCATGTTATCTTTTATTCTAATAAATAAGCTTATATCACACCAACATTTTAGATGCCAATTAAATTTTACAATTCTCGATTCTAATTTTGATACCACACTAAACACTACAAGCCTAACGAATAAAAAGTTCAATTATTATTAAAGACAAATGAACAGTCAGTAAATAAGAAAACATGAACCAATTACAAGCAACAGCACAAATAAATATATAGAACAAAGATACATATGAAATTATACTTTAGAAAGAACATCAGACGGACTGAATGAGACGCAAATTCACTCTCTGACAGTAGGTGGCGCTTATGGAACAGAAGCGATACAGTATTTCCTTGGTTATCGCTGTACAGAAAGCAGCGAAGCGCTTATTAACACTACTTTAAAGGCCTCTTTAAAGGCCTCTGTTAACTAGGGGTGCTCCGATTGATCGGCTACCGATCACTATCGGCCGATAACCACATTGGGACGATCGATCGACGGTCTCTTAAAGGCCGACCTCAAAAAAACGATCTCAAGCTGATGACGCTGCCGTGAGAGGTTTGGCACGACATGCAGCGGCACCGTCTCAGTCTCTGTCCGGCGCGGGTGAAACAATTATAATTCTGAAGGTGAGGTACTCGCCCTCATATTTTTTTATTAAATAACTTCTAAAGTAATTTGAAAACCTTGTGTGAGACGTAATTTCACAAACTGCGTGAGTCAGCTCTCTCTCAAAATACGCAAATGGATTCAAATCACCACACATCGCGTCTGTCTATAAGTGAGCTGCACAGTTGACAGGAATTGTCACTTGCACAGTCGAAGCAGTGTCACATCGTCACTAAAGTTGATAAATTGCATTTCTTTTTAATTCTTGCCAGTGTTTAACCATTCAGTGCTCGCGCGCTCTCCTGGAGACCGTGCGCTCATGCCCACTCGCAGCGCACACACGTAATGCCAGGCTCACATTACTCCGTTTGTAGTGCATACATGGTGCATATTTTTTCCACGTTCATGTTAACGAATTAAAGCGTTCACTGCACACGGTTGCGGTCCGGCAGTGCGTTCAGGAGCGGTGCGTCATCAGTGCAGAGATCGTTTCCGCACCAAGTCTATTGCTGCGCTGCAAGCGCTGAATTAAAGTAACAGCGCATTGTTTGCAGTAAATATGAACATGGATTGACACGAAAATTTAGTAATTACACCATAAATGCATATTATTAAAGTCTACTGTGTTTCACAGTCAACCCATATGGCTTTTTGGCTAGGTTTAAAGGGAAAGAACAGTTTTAGATAAAGAAGGCAATAATAGATGGCACTCGTGCGTAGGAAAACAAAGTTCTTTATGAACTGCAGGATTGCTTGTAATAAAGATTTAAATGCAAAAGGAAAGGCAGTAGAGCTGTCTATTTCTGTCAATGGTAAGTTTGTGATAAC